AATACCAAATACTCTGATTGCACAAGCAGAATTTTTGCAGAATGTCTTTGTCTGAAAACCAATAAAGCAAAACAGTTTGAGAGTAAATCATAAAGGTATTGCAACAGAAGCAGCACTTGAAACCTGAAGGCTCTTTATGAGAATGATAAACATTACTGCAGGAAGAAGGTTATGGATTTTGTCCACCATGAATCTGACCTGATATATCTCAGGACAAATGAAAAAGTTTGTTGGGAATAAACAGTTGCAGCACTGGAGTCTCTGGCTGAAGCCTTTCATCAATATTTACGGGAGCAGCCTGCAGCTTTTAACCGTGGCTCTTTACGGAGGATGGAAGAGCCCAGAGGTTTATTAATGGAGGATACTTTGAGGCTGCAGCTCTTTTAAATGATCCTTGACCTTAGGGGTCAAATGATTTGTCCAACAGAGTAACAAGGGAGAGATCGTAGTGAAGCCAATCTGAATCCCAGGTCTAGGCCACTCACATGCAAACGAACAAACAGGTCAGCTTGCAAACAAAGTAAAAGCCTTTACACACTAGGGGTGTTTTTTCTGTGCAAATAATTTGCAAGTCAATGTTTTTTAAACTGTTGTTTTTGTCATAAGTACTTTCACACACAAAATGCGAATATTACGCAGCGAGAAAGCAACATCATTTATTTTTTATCATTTATTGTTATTTTTCAACAACGTTAATTTTTCTGAGCTTTTGCACCACACAAAATGCATCAACCAATCAAGCCGTGCAGAACAAACACCACGCTGCACTGTCACAATAATGGCAGACCTGTTGGTTGTTTGTGTTTCTTGGCGCCCTGTATAATACGACAGGGGACACAAAAATTATAAAGACCATGAACTCAAGGACAATATGTGGAGTAGCATCAACAAACAACACAAAAGCTCTGTAGTTCCAACAAAGACCGCAATCTTTATTATTCCTTTCAGTCTTGACAAAGGTAGTGCATACCTAATCCACTCCGTCAATTCATAACTTTCATAATAAAAGCCCTGGACATATACACTGCATAACCAGAGGGAACTAGGGACTGGGACCAAGAACTGGTTCCAGTTGTGAGGCCGTAACAAATTGCATCAAAATCATATACTGCCAAGCTTATCAATTCCTTTTATTGATGCTGACATATCTCTCTGACAGTTGTCCATTGCCAAACAATAAAGTCAAACTTGATCTACGTTGCTGGAAACTTGCAACAAGAAGGAGTCATGGAGGAGAGGAAGAAATGAGCCAAAGTGTGGCTTCATTTCATAAAGAAAGATGACAACAGTGCCGTTTGTAATGTCTGTAAAATGATCATTTCTAGTAAAGGCAGAAACACCAGCAATACACTAAAACATCATGGGCTTAAAATCAAGGAAAGCCATTTATGTCACACTCTACACAAGAGTGCGACTGCTTTCAAACCGAGCAGCACGTACATTACCGAGGGTAAAGATCCTCTGTATTAACATTAGCACCACGCAGACAGAGTTAGCTCATTTTTTTTCTTTGACTTAGAAAATGAGCGAAGAAAGGTTCTAGGCCTACTGCTCTTACCCACAGGAAATTAATCAGGAACTAATAAGAGAATCGACAAAGACATTAGAGCGATACACATAAACAGTAATGGCATTGGTATCTATCAAATTGGAATAATTCCCATCCCAAAAGGAAACTCAAATTCACTCAGAGAGAATCTATTCAAACCTTTTATTGAACAAGTGTTGCAAATGTCGCAAGTTCGCATCGCTGCCGATGTCAATAGTTTGAATGTAAATGTTAGATGTACCCTAATGTAAATTAGGGTTCTCAATCTTAACCCAAGCCTGACGGGTCCCGGAAAGCCCAACAAGTTAGACCGTTGGGTTGGGTTCAGGCTTCAACTCACACAGGTCAGTTAGGTTCAAGCTGTATTTTTTCGACCCACTGACAACTCTAATGCAAAGGCCTTTAGATCACCAGCATACAAAGTATCACTCTCTTATCAGTGTTAGCTGATTTTAGGCCTGATTTGATCTGGCCAGGTTGAAAATTATAAATAAATCCATCCGACCATCATTCACAGTCATTGTCATAAAGGTGACTGATGATAACATATGGAAGAACTATCACTTGCCATTAATTATCTGGGGGGATTTGAACATTGCAACATATGTGCCATTCAGGATTTTTGACCCCATTCCAAGCACATGTATGACATTTCCCTTGCCTGCATCACCAAATATCCATTTGGATGGTCCATCCATTCTAAAGGTCTCTTCTGAACCAACACCTACACATTTCTGTAAATGAGTATCATCACCCCTGCCCTTATTCTGTGGAGCAGACACAAGTGAAAACTGTTTGGTCATCTTGATGGATAGGACAACATTTACACTGAAACACAAACCTAATTGGAAACCTGCACAAACTAACAAAGAATAACCCGAAAAGCCTTTAGGGAGACAAACCTTGTTACAGGTACTTTTTTCTTTCTTTCTAGACTGACCTACTTTATGAATTGATTTCAGATTTTATGATGGGATTGTCATAAATCATTATAAGACACAGGCAGGGCTGCAGATGGCCCGATGTAGAAGAAAAACTGGTGTGCTGCCATCACAGACGAGGACTGAATGACTACTTCTGGTGATGTGTGCGTGTTTGTTTGGTCAGATGGGTTTCTGATATGCATAGTTACACAGTGACTAGTTTAGGATGCCGAGATGCTACATCGGACGATTCAGCTCACGGTTGTAAAACTTTTGAAAAGAGATATTTCATATTTAGTGCCTGTGTTAATGGTCCTGTGTTTCAGAGCATCACTAATAGTCTGCTTTTTATTTATTGATTGACTGCATTAATAGCCTGGTTTTAAGTTGAGTAACCAAACAGGCTCCTGAGCTCCACTTATGTCCTCTTGGCATATGTGTCCGTGTGTTGGTGTTACCATTGCTGTTATTGTTGCATTTTGTCTGTCATTGCTGTCTGCTGTGAGCCTTCTGACGAGTTCCCCCTCTATGGATTAATAAAGTTATCTATCTATCTAACAATAGGAAGTAAAAAAAAACTACCTGAATACGACTACACTTTCAGACCAGTCACCAGCGGAAAATTTTGGCATTATGCATTTCTACAAACCGCATATATGCTGCATTTGCACCTTTCATACGTATCATACCAACTTTTTTAAAGTGACCTAATACATAACCTGATTTTGGACAGTGGATGGCATAACATCTACACAAGATGGCTGCCAAGCTGCAGACCACTGTTCGAGACCAACACTCAACAGAATCGGTTGGTTTTTGTTGTGCTGCGTTTCAGCAGCTTTTTAGGCTCCAAACCTAAAGTTTTTTGTAGCTACCTGTCACTTTGATTTCAGTAGCTTTTTAGGCTCCAAACCTAAATGTTTTGTAGCAACCTCTCGCTTTGTTTCCAGCAGCTTTTTAGGCTCCAAACCTGAATGTTTTGTAGCAACCTATCGCTTTATTTTCAGCAGCTTTTTAGGCTCCAAACCTGAATGTTTTGTAGCAACCTGTCACTTTGTTTCCAGCAGCTTTTTAGGCTCCAAACCTAAATGTTTTGTAGCAACCTATCGCTTTGTTTCCAGCAGCTTTTTAGGCTCCAAACCTAAATGTTTTGTAGCAACCTCTCGCTTTGTTTCCAGCAGCTTTTTAGGCTCCAAACCTAAATGTTTTGTAGCAACCTCTTGCTTTGTTTCCAGCAACTTCTTAGGCACGAAAACCGGTTGTTTATTTCTGAACTATTGCTGCTTTTCCTGCTAGGATAGTGGCAAACGAAAGTCAGCGTTTTTTACCGAGACATCACTGCTATTATTGCCGGGGCTGTGCCCCCCAGACCGGACAAAACGTAACCTTTTCCTTACCACAATCAAGTTGTTTTTGTGCCTAAAACTAACCACGTTAAATGTTAAGTTTTAACACATCTGCTACACAAAATAAATGTTAAGTATCCAAGGTTTGCAGAAACGTACAATGCCAACTTGGGTTGCCACTTTTTAAATGAGGGGATATTTCTTTTTAATGTTTTACAAAAGAGAAATAATACTGAAAACTGAAAATGCATAATTTACTTGAAGAACACTGCTCAATCTATATTTATCTTTTATCATACTTGCTTCTGATTAACAAATTCTGTTTCAGTGCTGTTGTAGTTATACCAACAACTACCCAAAACCACTTACGATTGTTAAGACAAACAGTGATAGCCTCAGAAACCCCAACCTGACAACAACTAGGAAACACACAAAATGCTCTGCAACATGGTGCCTTATCTATGATGCCTCAATAAAAAACTGTAATGTTGGCACACTGCAGAATCTTCACTTATCTGCCAGGATGTAGTTTTCATGGTGCAAGACAAACATCTAGACAACCGGTATCTTGCTGGGTACAAGGCTATATTTAGTCCACAGATGATAAAAAGAAATTTTCACCAGCTGGGTTTAAAATTTGCACAATTTTACTCTAGTCACTGCTCATTGTGTACAGCACAATTACTGAATGATTGGGCCCAACCCCATTTGTACTCTCTGGAAACATAAGGGACAAGAAAACAATTAGAAACAATGGATGCTGGTAGATAAGCTTAGTCTGTTCTGCTCTGTATTTCCAACATCCTGTTTTGTGTCTTTTGCTCTGTGTGCTTCCCTGTGGTTATATATTGCATAATGTATTGTATCACTTTTTCCTGTGATTACTGATGTTAGATTATGGTATGTTTTTTTTCTCCATAAGTCCTTTGAAACTTGCTTGTGATAAGGCCAGTTCAATAAATAAAGTGAAACATACTGTGGAGTGAAATAACAGTTAGTCTGAGGAAGGGGAACAGTCACTATGAATGGCAGTGTGGTAAGACAACACACTCAATGCTCCACTGGATCTTTGATGACACATACGGTGACTGAAATGAGGATAGACAGTGGGGGATGCTGGGAGATGTAGTTGACTGGCTTGGAGAAGCATGCAGCTCACTCGATAAAAAGGGCAGAACCCACCTTCTCCGCTCCCCGGGCCGGCCTCTGTAATTATCTCCATTAGAGAATTTAGCCCAAATACTGCACACAAAACCCAGAATTAGTGCCGCGAAAAGGTGGACAGAGAGAGGGACACCGGCCCAGACACAACCAGTCTGAACATCAACCCATAACACAACAGACATGCACACTCAACATGGCGCCAAAACAAAGAAAATAAAAGAGAAAAAGGCAGACAAAAAGAGAAAAAGACAATATGTACTGATGATGGTATCAACCCTGAAAGTGTTTGATAAGATGACTAATGCCATGTGTCTGGCAACACATTCAACATTTACAGTACCAAGTAGGAGCTGTGTGTAGCTCATACTTTGTTGTGTACACATCAGTGGCCTGAACCATGTGAATAATGAACAGTCCAGTAAAACAATGACAATGTAAATCTAAAGCAAGGGATGGAGTTGTTTCTTCTGAATTTGTGTATGATTTAAAGGGATAGTTCAGATTGTTGAACTGGGGTTGAATGAGGCACTTATCCATAGTCAACTGCAGTAGATGGCAATCAGCATGTACTCAGTTTGGAGAAGCAGACAGAAGTACCACCACGGAAACTTAGCAATGCTCAGCAAAAATTAGTCACTTAATAAAAGGCCTATCTAAAAATATACTATTAGTCTATGTGAACATTTCTCAACCTTAGAAATTCCATATTCCCACACATAAGCACAACTGTGCCATGCAGGTTAGCTGCCTGTGTCAGAAAGTCAGACTTTCGCAGATTTATGAAGGAGACAACGAAACTAAAATTACAAAAAGTGATTATGACAACGAAATGCCAAGAGCACAAGCTTAGTGCTTAGTCTTAGTCTTGCAGGTGGGGTGTTGACGTCTGTATACAGTAGGGGTGTGCCATATAATTTCGTTCACGATAACCTGTATAATTCATATGAAAAATTAATATCGTTATATTTGCGATATTTTGACTCGTTGACATATTGACATTATACTGTTACCCACGGCAACAACAAGCAAGAGATATTATTACAGACTCCACGGTGGTTCCAAAAAGAGGAGCAGCTTCAGTAGTGTGGAATAAACTGTGGCGTCCTGAATGTTTTATGAACAGCCCCGGACTTCTCAGACTCTTTTAGTGACTTACCGCTCAGAGGGAACTCATTCAGCGGCTCCTCTGGCAGCAGCACAGTGTCTCTCCCTCTCCTCTCTCGCCGCCTGCACACGTAAGTCAGTGTGGCCAAGTGATTTTGTCAGAAATATTGCTCACCCCTAACACTCACTTCAACTAGCCACAGCTGCTTTAAATTATTTGTTAAAACAGCATGGAAAAGCACAAGCACGCAGCATTTTAGAAATCTTTAGAAAGGTGAAGTTTCATTTCAGTTGGATCGCGCAACAGCAATTTCTGACTAGAAAAAACTGACCTTCGGCATAATACAGTGCAAGGCACAGTTGCATTTGTGCGTCAGAATACAGACGTTCTACGGTTGAGAAACTGTAGTGCCAAAGGAAAAGAGCTGTCTGAAGGTAGGACATTCTGAAAATAGCATCCACTTAGGCTGATATTGTTTTTTTTTAGGTGGGCCTTTTTTAAATTGGCTAGAATACATTTTGTTGCCAACCTCTGTCGACAGCACTATGTTGTTTAGCTTGTCATAGCATACTCACGTCTGCTTCTCCAAACTGGGAGCATGTCGACTGCCATTCACTTCAGGTAATACACTGGCGATGGTTAAGTACCTCATACAGCCCCACTTCAAAACATCCAAACTATTCCTTTAAGGCAGGAATCTTACTTTGAGCAAAAAAACAAAACAAAAAAAAAAAACACCAAAAATAATCATGACGTACAGTAAAACACTACATTAGAAAACCTGAGATCGTCATAGTTTCGTCACTGTTTTTGTTAAACCAGTGAGTGACCTTTAAAAAAGGGAAGGAAACACTCAACAATAGGAGCCACCACACAAGCAAGCAAGGACAAAACTCGTATGAGTCGGGAGGCAGGTGGGAAAAAAATTCCATTCACTGACGACCAGTCTCTCTGTGAACATCATTCAAGGACATAAATGGAACTACACTGAAACATTAATTAGGTAAATCAAGTTTAAAAGGACTGAGCATCCTTCTTGTGGTAAGGATGTGCAGATGCCACGTCAATAACAGTCGCAGAAGAATTCTTTCAATATGTGCGTCATAGCGCATCAAAAAGACTCCCACCAGTCACACAGAGCAGAATGGCAAAGGAACGAAGGGGAAGGCATGGAGATACACGAAGGACATTAAAGGTGTCTCTTCTATCTTAGTCCTATGCTGAAAAACAGGGTGTAAGATAGGTATAGGTCACTTCAAGGATAAAGAAATGCCTAGCCAGGGTGCTAAAGCAAGCTATCACACCAGACATAACATACCCGGGCTGTCGGGGTCATCTGAACGACAAAGACAAAACACATCATAATCAAAGGAACAGAACATTTTCTATGGCAGCTATTCCACATGGAGTGGAGCTATTGAGTTAGATTACCATGCTTCATCCGTTTTTTCTCTCAGTGAAAATCCAGCCTGAGCAGAGTTCATATTCGCCTCTTAAAACTTCAAAAATATCATAAATTAGCTGGTTTAATAACTCTGTTCCCAAGTGCAGTTTTAGTCCCTGCAGCGGTTAAGATTTTAATAAATAGCAGAATTTAAACATCAGCTGAGACTGCAGTAGGATTCATTTTAGGGTTGGGTACTGTTCATATGTGAGCTGACTCCAGCACCAGGACCTGGAGTTCGGCATCAGTATCCAACAGTACCTTTTATTGGGACTCTCACTGTTATAACAAAAACATAATTTCTGAACCAGCTGCAGGGATGACGTAACAGGCTAAAAAGCAATTCTGCTGCTCTCCTCTTTTTTATATCACACATAGAGGTAATCTTCTGTCTCCGTCTGTTTGTCTGCTTATGTGTGTGTGTGTGTGTGTGTGTGCATGTGCGTGTGTGTCTGCCTGTCTAGCAGTACTACTAGGTTATTTTTAAAATCATATGGAAAAGAAAATGGACCAGACGTCGAAACTATTGCGGCAGATCTGCACTGAAGCGATAGTTTTGGATGCTGGGAAGCTAACAGAGTGGCCGACGGAGTAGCCAGTGGAGCGACTGATTTCCCAGCCTTGGAGGTGTGTGTGTCTCTTGTCTGAAGTTGAACCCAATCTGTACATTTACATGCAGCTTGAGAAAATCGAATTATTGGCTTAGTCCGACTGAGACCAGACTTTTAAATGCATGTAAACAGTTTAATCCGACTGAAATTGGACTATCTGTAGCTCGGCTAACACATCTAGATGATCTGACTGAAAATCCAACTATTGCTGCATGTATCCGCTTAATCCGACTGGAGTCGGACTCAGCGTTCTGCACATGAACCACTTTTTCTTTCGCAGGCTTTCACCGAGAAGAAGGAGATGACGTGGCAGCAGCAGTGCAGTAACTCCCGGAAAAACAAACAAACAAACATCATGTTGACCGAGAAGCAGAAGACGCACTTCTGGACGGACGAGGAAACTACATTCATGCCCCAACAGCTAAAGGAGCTAAACATTTTGAAGTTTATGGATGGTAGGAAAACACGAAATGCGGATTTATTTAAAAAAGTTTCTGAACAAGAACCAGAACCAGTTCAATACGCACTGTATTAAAAAGGACACAGTGCCGGCTATCAAGGTGGAGTCAGACATACTTGGTCAGAAATTCGATGACGAGAAATACGACTTGATTGATTAGCTGAGCTATGAGCTTAGCTCGACTACTGCGTAGTCTGAGTGGCTTTGTGGAGATCCTTTGCTGGTCACGGAGCTTCATGGCTGACTACCAGGTTTTGTATGTCATTTCTGTCTCTTGTCTAAACTGGGCATACTCACCCAAACGCACTCTCAGGCACCCAAATTTGGCACAGATGGATTTAACGTGAATTGGTACTCGGTGGTACTAGCACCAGTTCAGCACCCAGCCCTAATTCTTTTGTTCTGTTTAGGTTTCCATGCTTGTGTAACTGCAGTTTAACTGATATCAACATGAGTCCTTCTTAAAACCAAATATCCTGCAGTTGGTTTGATCGCTTGCTCTTTCTCCACTTGCTTACAGAGGGAGACCTGCCTTGTCAGATTTATCTACTAGCAAACACTATTTGAGAGCATATTAGTACCAAAATCTGTAATAACTACTCCAAACATGCTTAACATGCTTTCTACACCACTACCTAATGGTGGTAGTAGTGGTATTAGAAGGGGTTAAAGAAAAGATTCATGGGACAAACTGCACATGAGAAAGAGTTGTTCATCTCTACAAACATGGCGACAACGAGTCTGTTTTTGAGTGGATTTTCCTGTCAAGAGAGAAAAAAACTTTGTCTGACACATCCTCAATATTCTCCTATAAAATAGTGCCATACCCATTTTGCAATCCAGCGGGAATACGTCAGGCTATAAAAACAGATTTACAAACCTGCTTGCTCCATTTCCTCCTCAATATCAAAATTGAAATATTCTTTTACCCCCAAAAAATAATTTAGAAAACAAAAAACAACAAAGGTAGAAGAACAAACAGTAAATGAATTAAATAATACAAAAGGTAAAAAAAATACTGAATAAAAATACTTTCTGTTTAGACAAGTGTGTATGTGTTGTTGTTTTTTTTTTTTAAATCTCCAACTAGTTAGGACTTTTTAATTCTTACAATTTTATAGTATATAAAATGGGAGGATTCAAATCATAGTATTTGAGTGTAATCTAAATAAACATGATAAAAAAGCATGAAAGAAAATCTCTTAATAAATATGTAGAGTAAATGACTGCAAATATGAAGTCAGTGATGAAAAGATAAATAAATGAGTGGATCAGAAAAACAAAAAAAGGATAATGGCACTAAATCTTTTCTATCTATTATTCTTTATCTTTGTCTACTCTCCTTATTGTAGTGGTGACTCCTAAACAAAACATTTTATAATCAAGTTTCTTATTACCCCTGAAATCTTCTGAACAACTGGGTCAGACAATAAGAAGACAGAAACACTTGAACACATGTAACTGGTCACGTCAGCCATGTTGTCCTACCTTTTAGACTGGGGAAAGGCGTTTTCTCCCTCGCTGCCTTGTTGGGAAGGGCAAGGTTAGACAGGCTGAAACTGGTGCCGTGGTTCTTGTAGAGATTGCCTGTAGTGGGGGTGAAAACAGGAATAATATTTAAATAATCATTCAAAACCAAAAGGTATGATAATTAACATGATTCACCCTTAACAATTTTGGAGAAGCGCAGATATTTACTCTCATCACAACAGTGAGTAAACAGCATTTGTTAACAAGAGGTGACTGACCCAGCTGTAGGCAAAATAAACTGTTAAATTAACCACTTGTAAATATGTAAATGTTGATATCTACAATAAAAACGGACTCAAAATAAGTCGTCCTAACAGAAGACATCATGTAAAACAAAACCTACTGTGTAACCCACCTCTTAAACCTGATGTAAATGATTTTTTTTTTTTTTTTAAAGATATTTTTTAGGCATGCACATCCATTGATGATAAATAATGGGTGCTGGACAGAGAGATAAATACTAAAATACAAAAGCAGGTCCGCAGATAGATATACCACTGTTTTTTTTACATCACTGTGGTATTTCTCATCGAGTATCACTATTTTCTATAGCATTAGGCGCACCTCTATTTTTCAAACAATATATGAATTACAAAACATCTTCTTTCACTATTTCATCTTGAATTTGTGTGTCATTATGACGTTCTTTTAACCTGATGTTTCAGTCATGTGATATTGAATGTGATCTCTTGGCACTGCTGGCCTTTTATAAATGTATATTTTTTGTAAATGTATTTATTTGTAAATGTATTCCTGTGGTGTAATTTTGTTCTGGTTTTGCAGCGTGTTTCTGTATAGCTACATGTGTTATCATGTGATCTGCTGGGTGATCATTATTGCTTGTACATACAGAGGTGTGTCTCCTTATCTTTTTCATGTTTGAAGGGCCGGTGCCCTAAACGTCACATGTGGTGATGCGATTAAAATGTCCAAAAGGAGCAGTGTTCAAACTTTGAACACTAACATACCACCTTTAAACTGATTTGAACTTGTCAGCATACAGTTGTCTTTTTACACATATAGAACAACATAAGCATTAATTTGGAGTTGTGGTCCTGGTTACCTGGGTGAACTAAAATAAGTATTTCACTGCTGGAATAAGATCCTTTCATAAAACAGATGTCTGTGCTGTAGAGAGACAAAAATACCTTCGAAATTGGTACTATATGAACTGAGAAAACTGAGTAAGGGCTGCTTTTGCTCAAGAAGTAGAAAACCAAAAACTAGCTAGACTAAAACATGTTTCAGAAAATATTCTAGGTGAGAAATAGGCAATGCAGTAACGGAATTATGGTTTATATTCAATTAACACTGCCTAGTTTTACAGTTTGTTGTGAGTTTGTTGTGCTTTTGCGATCCGCTTTTATATTGTATATTATATTGTGTCCATGGTGCATAACTACAAGTTCCAGTACGAGCAACAGCACGAGAACCACTGAAAATCCTGGGGGATACACAAGGAGATCTAGGCGCTGGAAGCAAGGCATAATTTATTACACATACTACCCACATTGTTTTGGTACAAAGCTGGCTAAAAATCAGCAAAGTATCCCTTTAAGTGCAACATTCATTCTCCTTTGAGCTGCTTCGATTTCTACTCACTCGAACATCTGCCTCTTTAGCTCCTAAATGCTCCCATTTAGAGCTGGGCAGGAAGTGTACACTGGTTGTGTTTTTGAGCTTCTTGGTAAAAAAAAGGTGCCTGTTGCAGCCATATGCGACACTGTAAGAGCAGTGATACTGTTGTCAGAAGCACAGAGGAAATTCTATGACAAGGCAACACTGTGTTCACTCTCATGAAGGCAACTAAACCCACTGTATGCTCTAGATTTGGATGCATTTTTTAATTTGTGAGGAGGCGTGATCAAGCTTTAAGTCCTTCCAAATGGGTGCGAAAAACTGGGTTTAAAAAAGCTTTTTTTTTTGGTGCTCCAATTCATCATCATCCACTTAAATCAACCCACTTCCCATGTTTTACAAGCATGAAAAAGACATTTGAATATGCTTACTGGCAAAAGACATGAGTCCTCCAAATCCATCATTGCTGCTGTTGGAAATGGTGGAGTTTGGCGAGCTGTTGCGGGAGTCTCCCTCCCCGTCAGACTCTCCCGGAAGCCTCAGGCTAGAGGGACGTAAAGGACGCTGCACCCTAAATAAAAGAGCACAAGAAGTTACTGTGCGCCACAGACACAGAGACATATGCACACTACATGGGAAACTCTGAAGCATTCACACCATACAACACACCACCACAGATTCAAGACCACCATGAATGGAGAGAGTAATCTGACATGCTGGGTTTTGACAGAGAACATTGCATGGTTGGTCAGAGAGCCCATTTGAATGATGGTAATGCACTCATTCAAGTGATGAACAAGTTTAACACACTTGTTGCCATTGAGGTTCTGGTTGAATCGAGGGGTGTATGACTCCACTTGCTCCTCTGCATCAGGGTCATCCTCTGAGGGGAAGCCATACTGAGGCTCAAAGTACGGGTTGTCATACTCTTGCTTTTTGTTGGCTGGGTCCGCCAGGCCAGCATCAGCTGGAGGTCTGAGAAATGGCTGACTGCCCAGTCCAGAGACGGGGTTCTGTAAAGCTGCACCTGCTGACGCTTCAATTTCAGGTACTTCCCCCGGCTCCTGGAAAAATGAGCAGATTCATGAGAGTTATAGATGATTAAATATTGTCCTCCTTTCCCTCATTTCAATACAGATTAGATCAATTCTGCATAACTCTATTTCCTCCTGAAAAATCTGCAGCTCATGTCCATATCCAAGTTAGTCATCACAGTATGAGACATTTAATTTCCAGAAAAAAGTTAGAGGTGGATAGATCTCTGGTTTTTCCAGTCTGGTCAGGTGTATGAGCTTAAACTGGTTTGGTTTTATGCAAACCGGCTGAACCGGCTCTAGCACTATAATACATTCTGGCAAAGTAAAAAAAGCCAACAGCAGCAACCTGTGCTAACGGTGTCACAGCACTAAAGCCAATGCACTGTAAAGCATTTGTAAAAAGCAATATGACAATGTGGTTAACATATTTTGATGCTGGTTTGTAAACGGACTAATGGAGGCACTAGTGTCTAACAGACCATGCACAATTTACTGCCAAGTTAAGCACGGCAGCATGGTGAAGATCAAACTACAGCAGAGGTGGGAGGGGAAAGAGTGGTGCACGTTGTGTTTGTTCAATTGAAAGTTCATGTGTTTTTTGGAGTGATGAGATGAGACACGGCAGAGTTAGTCTCTCAAGAAAACTATCACAATGCTAACATGGCAACATTTTGGATTTGAAGCCAACAAAGAGGTTTCCTAACTTGACGTGTGAGACGTGGTGTGGTGTTTCAGGCTGAGCTTTTGTTTTTTTCCTGTTTCAATTTATTTCTGTTGATCACCTTGAATGCTATGCAATGGACAAAGAATAAATGATTATTGAAGTTGAAATGACAAATGATATATTGTAATTTCCAGTGAACATAAATATAATGTAAAATGTGTGTTTTCTGTTTAAAAAGTACAAACATAGGACAATAGCAAGAAGGCTACTAACCCATCTTTTAGAGGGTGAAGTCTCCCCTATGATCTCAAGCATATAGCTGATATTTACGGTGTGTTTACATGACATAACAGAGGTGCACATTTAACATATTCAGTGTGTCCTGTAGGGCTGCCCTCGACTAAGAAATTTCATAATCAACCAATAGTTGTCATTTAGGGCCATTAGTCGACTAGCTGCCCGCATGTTTACGATGTTTATGTAATTATTAAACTGTATATTGTGGGCGGGGCAACACAATGGTTTGAGTTGAAGGTGTGAGAAAGAATAGTATCAGTAACATTGTTAACACTGTGCTACATTACAGAGAAATACAAAACCGTACTAATGAACCTTCATTAATATAGGCCTATATTTTATCTACAAATGCACGTCACACACTGAGCGAGCAGCCTGTTAATGACGCTGTGGGCTAATGGGCATGTAGCTACTTCCATGTTTCAGATGATACGTCATGTTTGTAGTCGACCAATGAAGATGAGTTTACATATCACCTTGGGTTCGTCCTTCACCTTCTCAAAATGATCCCACACTTTGGATTTCCTGCCCGACATGATATTAACTAGCCTGTGGAATAACCGCAGGTACCAGCCCTGGAAATTAACCTGACTCCTGTCTGACTGCTGAGCGTGGACACTTCCTGTGTCTTGTCAAATTAAAGTCCCACATGGTCCAGTCATATAGGTTTTGATTTATTTTGACAAGGCTCAGCTCCTAATAGAGTTTCACATTTGTTTGTTTTTTCTGCAACTAAGTGACCAATGAAATCTTGAAGAGTAATGACCTTTCTGGTTGACTAACATTTGGTCAACCATTAGGGGGCAGCCCTAGTAGACAGAGAGCTCTACTGTTACGCGACGCAACGCAACAATCGGGCACTCATTTGCTACTGGGACATGGTGTCATTATGTTTGACTTGGGAGCGCCTGCTGAGTCAAGTGCAACACCTAGTATACTGGTCCGGTCCAGTGTTTGGCTTAAAATCAAACTATTTGAACATTTTCAAACCAGCCCGACCCAAACAACAGTATACATCAGAAAAATACAGCCTCCAAAGTGAATTTAAGGGTAACACTAAATGGGCAAATCACACACTTGGTTGACTCCCTGGATGATTGTGCTGGGACTTGAGCTTGCAGTTGTGCTGGAGCTTGAGCGAAGAGGTTGTCCGTCAGAGGGTTCAGCAGGTCCGTCCCCACTTGATGGACCCTCCGAGCCCTGACCTTCCCTGAAGTCATGGAAGTCCTGAAACTCAACCTCACTAGCGTCTCCCAGAGCAGCATGGGTAAGCGGGTCCATGCCTAAAACATTGAGGTCAAATATTAAAAGGAAGGTGGATATCACGCATATGGTCAATCCTGTAATGAAACAACAACTTACTTGAAGTGTCTCCCTGGATGTCACCTTGGATCATCTCACTCACAAGGTCTCCCAGTGACGAATAGGATGAGCTGGAGTCATCGTATGCCTCACTGTCACTACCGCTGCAACATATAAAATGAATGAAGTTGCCTAATTGACAGTACATCCAGCAAATAATAAAATAAACTTGACTAAACAGATTGAACTGTTATGCTGAAAAGGATCTTGCTCTTTCTTACCTGTCTGTCGGGTCAGACTCGTTGCCTTCATCCTCCAAAGGACCAGCCATAGCTTCAACCAGCTGAGAGCTTCCATCGTACACTCGGTAGTTCACCGGCTGCAGCTGGTGAGCGTACCACTTGGGCTTGTCTCCAATTAAGGAGGGGTCAAACACATCTAAAACAGAAGTGTATAATGTTCAAAACGCTTGCTTTAATGAGTTCTCTGTAATGCATATTGAACAAGAGTATCATCATAAAAGAGCCTTACTGTTATGTATCCTCTGGAAGGCAAGGTTGGTGGGATTCAGAGCCCATTCTCCATAGAACTCCACAGCCTGGGTATGAGAAAGTTTATCTGCAAAGCAAGAGCGTCGTGGCCGAGATGCAAGAAAAGAAGACGACTGAAAAGCCACAACAGGCCGAGGGAAGAGGCGCAAGGTGCGAGTGTGCATCTGGAACCCCTGGAGAACATTTGGGGAGTTGAAGAACCGTACCATGGCGACCCTGTGAAAAGGTGAAGAAGGTTAGTTATTTTTTAGGTGGACCTTTCTATAGGAGGCTAAAATTCATTTTGCTGCTGCCCCCTCTCCACAGCCACCAGACTCCTTTCACAGAAACAGTAGTTTTACTTCACAGAACACAGAAGTTGTTTGTCTAATGCTGCATCTGATCAGTTAGTTTGTTTGTGTTATTGTGGGAGTTTCGGAACTGAACTGATGTGGCTTGCTTAGCTTATGTGCCCCAGTGCTCCTGTCTGCTTCTCCAAACTGGGAGCGTGCTGACCACAATTAATTGTAGTTAACATACTGACTATGGAGCTATAAATGTATTTATACAGTACAAATGAAATGTTTTATTATATGGAAGCTCAATGTGTCTTCATCGGTTTAAATAAAGGTTTAATTATAACAAAATACCAACATCTTTCACCTCCAAACTCAAATCTTCCAAGCTAACAATTTTCTCACTCTCCATGTGTACACTGTTAGCAAACTACAAGTGTGGGGGTTGAGGGCGGGGATGGCAACAATTCCTTAACCTTAGGGTGGGCATTTCATTTGAAAAACATTGAAAAGAACGCAGATTGACCCACCCTTTAATATTCCTTTTGATCTAAAAATGAAATATGTACAATATTATTATGACTGCACGATACATCCATGGCCATCTACTACTAGAACAAAGAGTTTAAAAATTAAATTGTCGTTTACAGAATTTCAGCCGATAATCTGTCCACTAGTGAGGAGGAGAGCTGCAGACAAGGAACGCCACTTAAAACCTGGTCTTAATTGTGATTTTTGCCCATCTATGGAACATTTATTGTATGTAATAGTTGAGCCTAATATTCTATGTATGTTGAAATGAGTTTAAATATTAAGGAAGAGAACAACCAGCCTCTGTTTCTCCCCTTTTTCCTAGCCCCTTAAACTGACAGACAGAAACACAACAAATAGATAAAGGAGAGAGATATTCATGGCTTGCCTGGTGGCTACATCCACAGAGTCAACATCATTGCCATAAATCAGAGGGTTGAACTCTGTGGAGGACGGTGAAGCTTTATCTCGTCCAGGTGGCAGCAAGGGCATCTCCTGACCTTCCTGGAACTTCTCCAGGTTCAGGATGGGCTGGGTGTTCAAACTCATACTGGCCAAGGCCTAGAACAGATGATAGTGACACAAATTATAAACATAACAGTGGATCTGAAGACAAAAACACAGCGCTGTGATGGACCACTCCCACGATTGGCATCAACATTTAGTTAATGTGTCAATTTTTATAATTATTGGGACATCTTGAAATATTTGCCTCTTCTATTGAGGGTAAACAATTAGGACAAAAGTGAGTGATTGCTAGAATGGGGACTGAAAGGGGACCTATTGTGCTTTTCCTTATTTTCTGTTATATAAACATAATTATATAATGATGGATGCTCACACTGAATGTGGTCCAACTTTCAAATAATGAGGTAAACGTATGTGAAAGTAATAACTGTAAGCAGATGCAGATGTTAATATGTCCCTGATTTCTGTTCACATTGCTGCTGGAACACGTTTGGTTGCGTTTACAAACTTTTAATGGTTATTTTTACGAGCAGAAAGTGCCATTATACACAGTTATTACCTGGCTGAAAGTGCACTGCTACATTAAGCTACATGCTAACATTAGAGAAACATGTAATCTTTGTTGCCGCTGTTAATTTGCCACTGATTTCTGTTCATATTCCTGCTGGAACACATTTGGTTGCGCCGGGCGTAGAAACTTTTAATGGTTATTTTTACGAGTAGAAAATGCCATTATATACAGTTATTATCAGGCTGCAAGTGCACTGCTACATGAAGCTACATGCTAACATTAGGGAAACATGTACTCTTGGTTACCAATATTAATTTGCCCCTGATTTCTATATTCTGAATAGAACATGTCTGGTTGTCTTTAGAAGCTTTTGTTGTTAATTTTGAAATGGAGAAAATGCTGCTACACAGTCATTACTTGGCTGAAAGTACATTGCTACATGTAGCTACATGCTAATGGCAGAGAAACATGTTATCTTGGTTGTCGATGATGTTAATTTCTCCATGATATCGCATCATTTTCCTGCTGGAACATGTCTGGTTGTCTTTACAAACTTTTATTGTTGAATTTTAATTGGAGAAATTGCTGCTACCCACAGTCATCACCTGGTTGCAAGTACATTACTACACATAGCTACATGCTAACCGAAGGGAAACCTATAATCATGGCTGCATGTGCTGCTGATTTCTCCCAGATACAGGATAATAATTCAGCTGGGTCAGGTTTCGTCGTATTTTGGAGATTTTATTGGTGATTTTTTTCAAGGTAGAAAGTGCGGCTATTCTATGTTACAGTTATTCCTCAGCTGCAGTAACAGTGCAGAAATAAAGAGATGTGGAAGACCCAGAAACACTGACCAATCAGAGCAGAATGGGCTTTTTCAGGAGGGGGCTTAAAGAGACAGCCACTAAAACAAAGTGTCTCAGACAAAGGGTAGATACAGGTGTTCCAGCCCATATGGTAAAATAAAGGAAGGAAAATAACATGTTTTTTGAACATTAAAACATGACAAAACGTTCTAGTGGGAAGCCAAACTGCAAGTATGAACCTATAAAAAAGCACATTAGGTCCCCTTTAGACATGGGAAATCTGGTTTATGCTACCAAGCATCTCTGCTACCCAGCAGTGTGCTAAAGTGAGGTAAGGGATGATAAACTACAGGGTCCTACACCAGGTTTCCCCCACTTTCACACTTAAATAGCAGCTAAAAGATCAGTTTTGTGAATGTTGATGCCTGTGGTGGGTGTGTCACTTTGGAGAGGAGGGGCACAAGGGAAGTAAGTCACTATGCATGGTTTGCTTTGAGGGAACTGCTGCAGACTCAAGAGTCAATGTTTAGCTTAGCATAATGGAACATTTAGTTGCCGGGTCTGGATGAATGTTAACTTTATCAAAGTGATTAGCTTCATCATATCTTGTTTTGGTTACGAGAACACTCACTGATGCCAAGATAGATGCACGCACATTCAGTCATGCTCAAGCCAGAGCTAAGCAGTGTATCAAAAAACTGGTCCGCGACATTCTGTGACACTGTTATGCATTTTTAGTCAAGTCTTGGAAGAGTAGGAGACAAGTAGTAGTGACAAGCAAAATAATGTGAGAGAGAAGATTTCCGTGCAGGGGCATTACACATTCCACAGGAGGAGAAATGAGTAACCTTATTTTCAGAGGAGAAGATCTGCTTTTGGGTGATCACGGTCAACCTAACCAGACACTAGGAAGGGGATAAGAGAGATGCGAGGAGAATCACATGAAGGCCTGGGATGACAACTTCGTGACTGACACTGGAACAGCACATGACGGAAGGGTCACAACCATGGCCCTTTCACTTTCTTTTCTTTGTCTCCTTTCAACAGCACTTCCCCATTTGTCTGCTTTCGCTGACAGAGAATAAGTATATTTTGGTGCCACCCAAATATAAGTCAAATAGATTTAAAAAAAAATGCTGGTGTTATTTTGATTTGTTTGTGCAGTGAAAGAGACGTCTTGCTGTTTCATCATTTCCATTTGCAATTTACTGAAGAAAGGAGATAAGAAAAGATAAATTTGTGTTTGTATGGAGAAAGTCATGGACAGCCAGGAGAGTAAGAGAGTAAAGAGAGTGAAATATTGTGAAAGTAAGACAGTGAGAGAAAATAATATATGGAAAGAAGAGATGGTTTGTAATGCTTACCATGAAAGACAGTGAGAAACACAGACAAGCAAAAATGTGACCAGACTTCACCTACAGAATCCAGCTACTACACGACACATGAAGACCATCCATGGTGACCAACCAGGACAAACCAGCGGTTACAATGGAGTGGTGATGACAGATACAAAACAGCAGATCTTTTCAGAAACACAGATAAAATACTTGCACAATAAAGCATCTGTGGCGAAATAAAGTTTTAACTGTAACGTGTAACTGCTCAGATAAAAAAAAAAAAGTCAGGTGAGCTGAAATACCACCATTTTTGTAACAGTAAATAAATCAGTCGCTCATTTGGACCGATTTATTTATCCAGTGCAAGTATTTTCAGTGACTCTCACATCAGCAGCATTCTGCTTTGGCATCACAGTTTTCAGAGTAATCAGTTCAAACCATCTTCAGTGGCATTTCCTCCATTCACAGATATCAATATTGTGCGCTTGTTTCCAAATATACAACTGCTAAACTGAGGCTTTGCACACTCCTACACACCAGTCTCTCAGTCACACATCCACACACACGGGAGAGAGCTGCTAATCACACACACTGCTTATGAACCGGCTCTGATTCAAGGCATATTAAAAAAGAAAAAAATACATGTACGCAAGGGAACAGAATATATTTGGAAAGTTCTTTGGTGGGTGTATTCACTGATACTATAAATAAAAAGCTATATTTAATACAGCTTCAGAGTATTTTATCAGGGTTCCTACAGCTTAAGGCAAGTAAGACTTAATTTCGTGGCGACATGAGAGTAGAATAGAACTTGGAAATACCGTTTGTTGGTGAGTTTTCTTAACGATTTTGTGTTTCTCGTAGTGCCGTGGGATTTCACTGCCTTGATTCCCATCGTGCTTACTTTGAAAAACTTTTTGCATAAAATAAACAGAGCTTTGTATGCATTGCCTTCTACTGGTTTCAGCCATGCTGCGAAATCCTGATTAACAGGCAACTTTCAAAGGGGGGCATGGCTAGCGAGCTTTGGAGTAGCCGTGTTTTCACCAGAATCCACTTTGGCCTCTCGCAACTTTAAGATTCTCCCCTTCAAGTTTCATCTTTATAATTCACAACTTTTGTCACAATACTGCAAAACTGTGTCCAAATCCAAAACCAACAGTGCTTGTGAAAAAAACGAGGAAACAGCTGAAGGCGTCAAACCAACAAATGCGGCTAAGGAAGTGAGGCTAGCTGCGGGGCTAGTATAGTCAACTTTCACTGAATTTGCAATTCCCAATGTCATCGAGGGAACAGTAACAGCTAGCTAGCAGATCGTGAATCCTCTGCTCTGAGCATCCTGGCCAGAAACAAAAAACATAGAGTTGTTGGTTCCACTATCCTGATCTCCCTCTGCAAGAGGCATTTGGCAAATTATCTAAAAAAACAATATTAGTTCGAAATATTTTGAGACTCTAGACTGCAACGTTAGGGAAACGATTTCTAAAATCCTACTTCCCATATCTTAGCATTTTTAGGACTTTTGAAAAATGTAGACATTTTAAATCCAACTGCTGACTTACTTTTAGATGAATTAAGTCAATGCCAAGACTTATTAAGGATCTGCAGGAACCCTGATAGATTGACTTTGAAGCTTTGAGCTTGGCGTCCTGAAAAAATCCTTCGTATTAAACTATATTATTATTATTGAAAGTGATGGACTAGTGATACCCCTGTGTCATATTCATTTATGATTAAAAGGTGAAGGTTAGGCAAGTTTAGTATGTGTGGGTCGTTCGTAGAAAAGCTTGGAAAACCATTACATTCATTGTTGCCATTTGTGAGCCTTACTGTGGAGAAGAAACATTTGTTTCTGATCGGCATGGAAAAAACAAACAGTCTAACAGGATGGCAGGACGGTAAAACAAAACACGCATGACGATATGTTGTGTGTGGAATGGTGATGTTGTATTGTTAATAAAGAATGAAATAAAACATAAAAAACGATTGTGTTTATTATTTAATGTAATGTTTCTAGTAACGTACAGATTGCCTCCGTTTTCCTCTTTTGTGAAGCAGCTATTTAACATCTGGTTGTCAATTCTGTCGTACGGCAAAAAATTAAAATATTTCAACTCTGCTGGCTTCACCCAATGTTACCGTCCTGCTCTCATCCACTTAAATTATATCCTGTTTGCTGTCTACCATCTCCCTGATTATACAGCCAATGACGAATAAAAGTGTAGCCATGGCCAACATTTATTTGATAATAATCGAACATCGTGATCATATCCGTAAGAAGGGCCTTTGTGTGACTGGTGTTGCTAAACGCGTGGAGGTATGAAAATGTGAGCTGTTCCCATGAATCAGAACCAGGTTCTGATGTTAGGTTAGATTATCAGGTTACAGGGGCAAGTTAGTTACTACCAGCATTACTAAAGGTTTTGCTTAGGTAGCAGGGTCCTAGGATCAGATTTTACCTCCAAGAGCTAGAGCATGCAAAGAAAACAGGAAAAAAAGAACATTTTTTGTGTTAGTGCACTACAAAACCCATTTCAAATGCTCTCACACTCATCGACAATACATACAACTGTGTTGAAGAAGGAAGCCCCTACTCTTCTCACTGCTGAAAGAGAAGTTTTACATGGAAATAAGAGCACAGTCCTGGGAGCAACATCACAGGTCAGCTCCAGAGCAGCACCTGGATTCACGTGGCTCCGTATGTGAAAGGTAGAAGCACTGGTTTTGGGCTGAGCTCTGGCTGCCACAGAGCAGCAGAACTAGAAAACATCACACTGATAAAATTAAAGACGAATCGATCAAATCACAGGCAGTACCTGTTTAAGATGTTTCTTAAGCTCGCCTGCTTCAGGCTCTGGAAGAGGTGGTAGAATCTCTGCATGGGTGGGTGCTATAACCTGTAGACAAAAAAAACAAAATCTATATTAAGATAAAGAATAAAGGTTTGAACTAGTAGATCTCTGTCAGCTTCATCCAAACATCATCAAACTAGAATTACCACCTTGCAGTTGTATTCCCCTGCCAACTGGTCAAGTAGCAGTTCACATCATGTTTGTCCTGGCTCTAATTTATCAATCAATTTATCAATTTATCAATGGTGCAGCGAAGAAGCTACAAATTCTATATCACAGATGCTTCACACACATTTTCCAGCACAGAAGATATACCATACAATCAACAACGTGGGTACCAAAGATTAATGTCACCAATTCAGTATCTAATGAAATGTCGTCCCTTCTTTTCCGAATTTCAGAATTAAAGTGTTGATTAATGGCCAGAAAATATTTTGGGACAGACGTGAGATCACATCGACCTTGATCTCTGACCTTTGATCATTTCATCCGTCCAAATGAACATTTGTGCAGAAAATAAAATAAAAAAATCCCTCAAGCAAAGTTTAGATATTGTGTTTACGAGAACAGACAGACAGACAGACAACCACAAAATATAATGCCTCCGGCCACAGCTGCAGCCAGTGTGGAGACATAAAAACAAAATTAGAAGGAGGAGCAGAACACCACACTGATGTACTGACCTTGCTGCTGTCAAGATCCACAAGCCACACATCATCTGGCATTTTGAAATCAGCTTTGTAGAGGAAGAAGCTGGCTGGTACACCTATAATGTAGGGAGTGGGGGCAAGAAGGAGCTGCAGGGAGGAGAAAACATACCAGTTAATCATGATTAAATGTCACCACAACAGCAATGTGCAATTAAAAATGGCATGGAATCATCGACTTACTTGAACTACAGTCACTGGTCACTTTATTAGGTACACCTGTTTAACTGCTCATTAACGCAAGTAGCTAATCAGCCAATCACATGGTAGCAATTCAGTGCATTTAGGCATGGTGAAGACGACCTGCTGAAGTTCAAACAACCATCTCTAGGGTTTACAGAGGATGGTCCCAAAAAGAGAAAATATCCAGTGAGCCAAAATGCCTTGTTGATGCCAGAGGTCAGAGCAACAGTAACTCAAATAACCACTGGTTACAACCAAAGTCTGCAGAAGACCATCTCTGAAGCAACAACACATCCAACCTTGAAGCAGATGGGCTACAGCAGCAGAAGACCACACCAGGTGCCACTCCTGTCAGCTAACAACAGGAAACTGAGGCTACAGTTCACACAGGCTCACCAAAACTGGACAATAGAAGAATGGAAAAACGTTGCCTGGTCTGATGAGTCTGGATTTCTGCTGCCACATTCAGATGGTAGGGTCAGAATTTGGTGTAAACAACATGACAACATGGATCCATCCTGCCTTGTATCAACGGTTCAGGCTGGTGGTGGTGGTGTAATGGTGTGGGGGAGATTTTCTTAGTACCAACTGAGCATGGTTTAAACACCACAGCCTACCTGAGTATTGTTGCTGACCGTGTCCATCCCTTTATGACCACAGTGTACCCATCTTCTGATGGCTACTTCCAGCAGGATAAAGCATCATGTCACAAAGCTCAAATCATCTCAAACTGGTTTCTTGAACATGACAATGAGTTCACTGTACTCCAATGGCCTCCACAGTCACCAGATCTCAATCCAATAGAGCACATTTGGGATGTGGTGGAACGGAAGACTCTCATCATGGATGTGCAGGTGACAAATCTGCAGCAACTGTGTGATGTCATCATGTCAATATGGACCTAAATCTCTGAGGAATGTTTCCAGCACCTTGTTGGATCTATGACACCAAGAATTAAGCAGTTCTGAAGGCAAAAGGGGTCCAACCCAGTACGAGCAAGGTGTACCTAATAAAGTGGCCGGTGAATGTATGTCTTGAACACATGATTGGTTTTTACCTGTTCAGCAGAGGCCATGCACGTTGGCAGTAAGGGGATGACAGGGAACATGTACTCCAGAGGGTAGATCATAGCCACGAAGGCCATGACGCTCATAGACAAAGCATTGTAATCTCTAGATTGAAGAATAACCTAAAGGAAAAAAAGACACATGAAAAGGTGCAAACATTACAAACTTTGTTTTCTCCATAGATTTCAATACAAACTTGTGATGGGTGTTTATTGCCCTGTTATGCTCATATTGTAATATCTAAAGAGACAGACACACAGTCACCTAGTTTAGGGTTTCCTCTGGTGCTCTGCCATGCACTTATTTGTCTCATCGATCCATATTTCCTCTATTTGTCTGTAATGCAAAGCTTTGAACACCCCAATTTTGCCTTGGATTCGTAACAGCAATATTAAAAAACTGAGCTTTTATGAAAAATTCATTTGGCAGCACAAAGTGCTTGAGAGGAAGTCACTCAGAAAGCTTTCAGGCAGCACTTCGTTCAGCCTGACTGAATTTAATGATGTATTGAATTCATCTTCAAATAACCCAAAATGGATATATAAAGGATAGCAGTATTTCCGACAGGTAGAGGATTTATTTTCAGTGGTTGACCCCATTCAGGGAGACTTTACGATCAATCTGTGTTTTGAGCTTGGGTGGGGAAACATCTCTCGGTGGCCCTGATGAACTGTATATTTGAGAAACACTGAAAAGCAGAGGAACTGTCCAGCATCATGGTCACAGCAGGGACTGAAGCCGTGAAGATCGTTACAAATGAACCCATGTATCAGTGTCACAGTAAACCGAAAGCAACATAACACCAGCACCAGCCAAACAAGGTTTCTATTACATCCCTACTAATGCTTCTGAAGACAGAAATGAAGAGACCTTTATTACAGTCATTCTTTTTACCCATCATGCTTTGCCCACTCTGCAGTGAAATGGCTTCAGTGAGCCTACATCTAACAGAAAATGTCTGATGAAGGTCACTCGGGGTATTTCTCGGGAGGTCTTTAAAAAAGTTTTTTATCAAGGCAAGGACACACAACTGCACTCCAGAGGAAACCACTGACCAATCACAACATACTAAATATAGCTCGGCTTGTCCTCTCTCCCACTCTGTAATAAAATCCCACTGGTGATTTGGTTGCAGATGAAGACGACCACACACATCTCCTCCTGGTCTCATATATATATACCATATATACATACAGTTCATACAAAGGAGACAGGCCCAAGCGATGATTGACAACAAACAGTTTGCATCCTGAACTCACTGCTGCGTCTGTCCTTACCTTGTGCTCTAGCAGGACACAGCTGAGGACCTGAAGACAGGCGTCCACGCCCAGCAGCTCCAAGGGCAGGTGCAGGGGGAAGTCGACCATGGTGAAGCGGGAGTTGTCAGGCAGGGCAAAGGTGAGTGACCGCTTGAGTTCATGGGGCAGGACTTCCACATCCACACGCCTCTGACCTGCCACTGGTACCGGTGAACGAAGCAACCGGTACACCCAGGATTCAATCTCACGCAGATCAGCCAGCAGCTGGCTGCCTTTCTCTTCTACCGACAGCGCCCCAGTAAACACCCGCCACATGGTGTCCCTGGGAAGGACAACAATAGAGTGTACATTCAGAGTGATTCTTTTAAATTATTCTATTGTGTCATTGTAGATTATTTTTCAACTCTTGATCTATAAAATGCAAATAAATAAGCGATAGATTGATTACACGGGACAGTTAAAATAAGGAGGTGAGTATGTGGTTGCCTGGCAACAGTAAAAAGGCGCAGCAAGTGGGGTTTTTTTGTAGTGGCATTCAATTTTTCTAAAAAAAAAAAAAAAAAAAGGCAGTGCGGCACATCTCGTGTTTTGTAACCTGCAAAACGCTTTGTGTGATTGAGGCCTTAGTCAGTATATCCACATTACAAAAGTCTCATTGTGTAAATATTTTGTGAAATTCAGCCTTATAATATTGTTGCAATATCAATATCGAGGTATTGAGTCAAAATATCATGACATTTGATTTTCTCAATATTGCCCACCCTATACAAATGTATTATCTGTCCAACCACAGCTCCAAAATTAAAGATATATAAAACAGAGAGAAGCAACAGATCATCAAATATAAGAAGCTGGAATCGGGGAGTATCTGGCATTTTTGTTTAATAAACTTGAGTGCTTTTCCGACAAACACTTTTGGTATAGTATCCTTAGAACCCATACATATGCTGTACGGACATGTACCTAAACCCTAGATCTGTTTAGCGTTTCCACTACGGACAGAACTCTTAAATGTGGGCAGGGTTGTTACCAGATGGTAATAGCCACGCCTCTGCTCCCTTCAGCTGTTGCTGCATTTTCTCCTCTCCGACGACGCAGAGGAACAACATTTCTAGAACAAAACAACGTCTCTGCGATATTCAACGAAATACTTGAAAAAGGCGGGTCCTTGTCGAGCAGGAGTGCCAATTCTCTCAACCTATCACTGGATTGCAGTGTTTCTAGCTCCACTTTTAGGCATCGTATCAGTGTGCTTGGTACCTCAACTGAGGGGTGACGAAAAACAGAACAGAATCGAGCGGTGCTATTGATACCATTCAAAACACAAGACACACAAAAACAACTGTTATAATGTGTGACTAACTGAATGAACTGAACCAGACTGCTTGGTGGAAACAAGGCTTTAAAGACTAATCATTTTGGCAGCAGCTGAAGTGGCTTTAAACATATAACACAAGATGAATAACATCATTTGGCTTTATTATGCTTACTTAATTTTATACTTATTATTGCGGCAAACAGCAACCACAAGGTCTCAGTAAACACCCAATGAAATTACAGATCGAAAACACAGGAGAGGCTCTTAAGCAATTATCGAAGTTTTGATGTGAAAACCCTCCACTCTACACACACGGTGTCAATAAACCCTCTCAAGAGTGTATACTCAGTGTGTGTGGCAAGGAGGGAGATAAATCATTAGTCCTTTGGAGCCCTCCCACCAACTGCAGCTGCTACCCAAAGGCAGCCAGAGACCTCAATCTGTCAGAGCCGCCATGGCACAAAGCGCTCGCAGCCATTATGCAATGTCTCTCCTCCTTCTCTGTCACTGCCACGCCACTTTTCAACCAACCATGTCGGGGAAAAATAGATTCTCAGGTCTGTTCAGCCTTTGGCTTGAATGGCCTTTTCGTGGCTGTCAGAGGGACCACAGGTCTATATTGATGATTTGTGGATCTGCTGTAGCATTTTACGAGACCAAAAAACCTGAAGTTACGCATTTAACTGTGTATTAGACGTTCTAACACCATCCTGTAATGATGAGGGTGAAAGCTGCACTGATTCTACAGCTATAAATAAATAACTGTGGGGAAAACATATGCACCTTGGGTGACCAACAGTCCTGCTGGGCCTCAGCCAGCGTGAAGTGACAGCCTAATTAACACTTTGCCACTCCAAAATTGCAATATATCGTGTCACCCATGGCAACAGAACAACAACAAATGCAGCTGTGTTGGCTTTAAATAAAATATGAATCAATCAAACCTGGTGGTTGATTCGGAAAATAACAACATATAACATGATCAACACTTTGCTTCAAGTCTTATATTTAAAATACTGTGCTTAATGCCATTTCTTCATGACGTTAATGTATACAGTGGGTATACCAAGCAGCTTACAGCTTCCTACACACTTTTTGTTTTTATTTTCTGGTTAAGGGTTTTACCTTCATCTTTTTTACAGAGTGGGTCCATGACAAAAAGCAGCTCAAGTATCAAAAAAAATAAAAGATACCTAACTGAACAAAACTAAAAGAAACTACTTTGCATCTATTATCCTTAAAAACTCTCCACGCACCTCAGCTGAACCTTCTGCACAGGATCAAATAATATTTGCTGTAATAGAAAACCTTTTTAAATGCACTGTGAATATTTTGGTTGCCATTATTTATCATCGAGGTGGAGTGTGATAGCATCAAGCGCACTGTGAAAACATGACACAAGCTGCAGATGGCCTGCAAAACTGCATGGAGCCGCAGACAAAAGCTCTTGTATTAATACTGCAACACAAACATACACATAACAGGTGGACGATGAGAGAAGCAGATGGGGGAGAAAGAAAGCAGTGGGCACTGCAGAAAACATCAGCGGGAGCACTGTAAAAGCAACAAATCTGTCGTATTTGTTTGTAAACTTTTCAAGCCTTGAAAATTTTAAACTGAAGCGAAAAAATGAGCTTGATGTTTGCATGCAATGTCAGGTCAGTACGAATGCAACGATGTTATGTAACAGCTGACAGATGATGAAGAATGAGCTGTATCCACCTAATTTTCTTGTGTTAATGGGCAGTATGTTGCATTCTTTTTAAATAATTTATAGGTGTTCATGTATAGATTTATGACTCTGAACAAGACTTACTGACCACAGCCTCCTAGAGCCCATAAACTTAGTAATAATCCGCAAAACATATACATCGTACTGACTAGGTCCTGGACTAAATACTGATGGTGTGAAATAAATGACATGGTTTCATTACACTCAAAGGTTTTATGCCCTTGGTAATATGAACGTACTCATGGCAAACTGCCCAACTATGTGAAGTTGTGATCATAGTGGACATTTGGCTGAAGGGTGGCACAACAAAAAAGGTCATGGAGTGTCAAAAGCAATTAGCGTGATTATTTGGCAAGCATGAATGTGTTCAGAATTTTCATAGCAATCAACCAGATTGTGGTATTTTTAGTGTACAAAGTTTGTTTTGGACCAAAGAACTTTGAACCTTTAAACTAAAATAGCCATGAGCCGGGGCATCTAAAATAGTACATGGATGTTTTAGTGAGCACCACCATCGTAAGTCAGCAACAAAGACGAGCTACACATACAGCTGATGATGCAATCTTAAGCCTCACCTCTGGGTTGCGCGAGGGAGCCCAGCTCGCTGAGTTAGCCTCTGACTGCAGCAGTCCACCAGCCTCTTGAGAATATATAAACATTCCCTAAAGGTGGAGAAGAAGGGGTAGTGGCTGAGTATGCACAGCGAGGTCAGCGTGCTGTTGCGATTCCTGGCTGCAACCTTAGCAGCGCTCCGTCTGTGCTGTGGGGACTTGCTGGCATTTAGCTCGGCCCCTGGTTGTCCGCTCTCTTCTCCGGAGGCGGGTGGCGGTGCTGATTCAGCATTGTTAGGTGGAGCTAACGTGGAGGCAGGACCTCCGCCACCACCGTCAGACCCATCACTAGCGGTCTCCGCCGCCTGTGTTGCTGTCTCTGTGTGGCCGCTCTTGTCCCCACGACTTCGGTGATGCCCTCGTTGAAAAGAGCGGTAGAAGTTGACGCAGATTCCGTAGCGGGTGATTCCTGAGTCCTTGTCTGTCAGTGTGAAAACAAATGAGGAGTCGTCACGAAGGCTAACCCGACGCTGACGTATGCTTAGGCAGCCTTCAGGTTGGCAGAAGAACACAACGTCTGGTGGGAGCGGGAAGTCGTGGTGGTCCTCCAGCGGGTAGCGGCGGAGGAGCTGAGGTGTCTGGGCCACACTGTCACTACTTGGTTGCCTGTAGGGGAGATGGACAAACATGTGGGTTGTTTTTAAAGCTGTTGTAGTGCCAAGTTACCAACTGTGTGTTTAGGTGATGAGGGAAGCATTTTATAAGTGAGGCATTTGATCACTACATAACACAACACAATGGCTAACAAAGCCCTGATGTCATCTAGTGGTTACAGAGGCAATTAGTGACTAGTTAGCTTTTAAAATCCAAGAACTGGTTTGAAAAATCTGGTCAGGGAAGTAAACAAAAAAACTCCCATCCTACGACAACTGTGGAATTTCCTTTAGGCGTTACACTTAAAGCTGCTGTATATGACTGTCAGAGCAGATCTATGATTCAGAGCCTGATTCAGATTGTCTGCACAGGGTTCTCATCATGGAGGTGGCTGAACCAGTGGCTAGCAGCTAATGGTGCTAACAGCATGAGCACCTCCAACAACGCTAACAATGTTAACCTGCGAGGGAATCAAAGGGTGGGTGTAATGCTTCCACAATGACATCGTGGTCTGGACAGCTTTATCAGCTTAACTGCCGTATGAGCGCAGTGCAGAGTGGCGGCAATGAGCTAGCAGGTGGAATACAGTCAAAGGAACTAACATGCACATGCAGCCAGACCAGGTACCACAACAAACCACAGAGCAGCTCGGATTACAGAACACACAGAGGGAGTCATTCTCTGCTCAGGATGCTACTACTCCACTATATCTCTGCATAGCAAAAAGTGGTTTGCTGCTACTCAGAACCTTTACATCCCAACATAATCCAGTAGTGATAGTAGAGATATTCAGTGAGTGACTCTTAATAACAGTGGCCGACTGGACAGTTCTCTGATTTCACTGTGCTCATGTGAATCATCCTTTTCCCCTGCAGCCTCTGTGCTGACACAATGTGCTACTATCCTTCATTATGCATGCTGCATCATATGGGAATAACTGCGGCATCAACTCCAAAGCAATGACCTGGAAGTGTTAATAAAGTGAAACTAATGAATGTATAGAACGAGGTTTTCTAAAATGTTCCACTCACAGCATTAGCGTGCATGTAGACCAACAACAACAGTGCTACACAACAATGCAAGAGGCATTCAGGGCGAGGTGTTAATGAGTGTCTGTAGAGTAAAAGAGGAAGATGATTTAACCACCAGAAGTCCAGTTTGTCTGCTTATCATATGCCAAGACATCAAGTGGTTTACACATACTTTGAGCCTGGATCTGAACAACTCAAGGAAATTAATCATGGAAAATTGACTTCTCCTTTGTATCAATACTTGTGAGGTGAACAGCTAATTAGCACAATGCAAAGGCTCAAGCTATCGGTTGTGCTTTGTGTGCTCACGCCTACAGTCATTTTGTGAGGACGCTGCTTTGTGCTGTAGGTAAAGTAGGACTGTGACCTGATTTGCAAAGACTACCCTGCAGATTTCTGCTGAACCTCTCCAGCAACATCACCTATAGCAGCAGCACAAGGTGTCACTGAAATGAAGGAAACTGTGCAATTTTTGAAATCGTACAATAGGTGGTCTGACAGGGCCATCATGAGCTCAGAAGCAATAACACCATAGCTACGTTACTCAGCTCAGATATTACTCAAAACCAAGACTACTTCTTAGGTCAGGTTAGGTTCTTACCTTGCTCCGACCACCACCAAGTAGTCGAGAAGGCGAGGGCACATTTTCTTTTTCTCCATCTTGGATTGACCACGTCCTGTGTGTCACGGCATCCAGGATTTATGTTCCCTCTTGAGTCAGTGCTGCCTTTCCATCACATCTGGGAAAGTTCAGGTGTAAAGTTGAAACACAGCTCCTCGTTTATCATTGTGACGGGTCAGAAAACGATGGAGTCAAACCTGTAACACAAGAAAAAGACAGGGGAAAATAAATTCTGTTTTAGGTGTTTCTATGACCACAATTAAATAAACACTGGGGTGTAAACCAGAGAGAAACAATGTGGATGAATATTGAAGACATCTGGTCCATTACCACTGCATACAACAAACCTCATGATCTTTCAGAGTTGCAAATGTGGGCTAAACATGGCAGCATGATTTATACTCTGACTTTTTTTAAATGTCAAGAACTAGAAATAACTTGTATGCAATACCATTCTACGTATGAAGCAGCCTCCAATTTCCCTGTACCTGTCTTATCTCTGTTTGTAAGTGCTAACTAGGGCTGTACCCAACTCAGAATTAATATGCATATCCAACTATTCGTCCTTTTTTTCCCCCATATAGCCTAGAGTTTGAGAGTTTAGATAAGGTTCGGCAAAATAATCAGGGTGACAGTGACGTTCACAAGTCCTCAGAACTAATGGAGGCTAACTACACTAATGACAGATCAGATATGTGCAGCATTTTTTGCCAACACTACTGTAGATATAAAACAAATGCCAGAAGGCAGACGACAGCGTTATCTCAGAGCCTGACCAGGCAAAGCCTCTCCTCCTCTGAGCAGCTGCCTCCATCTCACTCAGTCTCACCCTGGGTGTGGGGTTGCAGCTGTCCATACCGAAGAGAAGCATGAAAGCAAAGAGTGCTTACTCTGTAGCTCGGCTTGACTTAAAGGAATCTCAGGGTGCTTTCACACCTGCCCTGTTTGGTTCGGTTCAATCGAACTCAAGTTTGTTTGCCCCCTAAGTGTGGTTCGTTTGGGCAGATGTGAACACTGCAATAGCAGTCAGATGCACACCAAAACAACCAGACCGAGACCTTCTTGAAGAGGTGGTCTCAGTCTGTTGGTCCACGGTTGTTGGTTTGTGGTGAGAACGTGTTCCGACATGGATCTGAACCAACTGCAGTCACATGACACATTGTTTGGGTTAAACATCAGCATGTTACAGTCCTGGAGGATTATTAATGTGCACCTCCTCCTGTACTGCCTTAATATGCACATTCAGCACATCCAATGCATCAAAACATTGTTTTCTAGTTGGAGCCGCGCCTCGTTTTCAAACTGTATGGTTTGACTAAAATGAACAATGACAGCAATATAGTCCATGATGAGCAGCGCTAAAATCAACCTGCGTAGTTGTCCCTCCATTGTGACATTAGAAAGTGTCACATTTATCTTGCAAGTGTACTCTTCTTCTTCTTCTACGTTTTGTTCACTTCCTGGATTTTACCCACATGGAAATTCTGACCAAACAAGAGCAGCTTTCTCATACAAGGCATTTGATCTGGTCCACTTGAAAATGCTGCCGTGACAACATGAACCAACACTTGGCAATTATACAACTTTGTAACAACATTAGTCGAGGTCCCTAAGTGATAAATGAAATCTTCAACTTTCAGGGAGCAGCCCTAGTATTAACATCATTACACAAGTCTTTCAACCCCACATAACAGTAGGTGATTCATACAGGCAAGTTTAGAGAGGCATGAAATCTACTAAGCTCTTTCAGATTTTAGAGATTTTTCAATTGAGAAAACATGAGAGCTGACAGAGAACAACGTTGTGTTGTGCTGTCTCTGGTTGTTCAAACATATGACCAATAACCGGTCAAGGAAGTGGCTTTGTTTCACCAACTGCCAACGATGCATCAGCAAAGATGAAAAACATAATTGCATTGCATTCTGGTTGACTGAGGCTACTGCCAGTGAAGAGACTAAACTGAAGCTCATTATCTTTTGGTTTGACGGATCATCAACTGTGAAAAATCTGAATCTGGGATAAAAAGCCATTAAACACGGCAGAGATTGAGTTGATATTGTAAAGTGTTTTCTTGCTATGAAACAGCATTGTACGCCTGCTGGAAATGTCACTGACAATGTCACATCTACATTTTAGTTTGCAAGAAAACAAAGACATAAGCAATCATGTCATGTTGACGCACTTAGAATGATCATCTCTACCAGACAGGGTGCAAGGCTGACAATAAGACAAAGTTGGTGGAGCGCAAAAGATGTCAGACATGACAAGCTTATATCAGCATCTCCAGTGTACTACGATGTTGTCTACATTTTACCCCACATCATAGAAAGGTATTAAAAGCATCCATCCAAACAGTGGACTCAGAAATGCACAGAACATTCCTATTAAAGTGTTATAGTGTCAATTTCTCATGACAATTATTTCAGCTGCTTGTTTTTGTCGGAGGATAAAGACTTTTCCGTAGAGGCTCGCTGGTAATAGTAAGCAGTTTAGGGGGCTTGGTGGAATAAGCACCCTTCACGGCTCTGTGACTGACTGACAGGTAACTGCAGCAAACTTAACCAGCACCTCTACAGATGGCCGGCCACCACGGAGCCACTTCCAGCTCTAGTCTAGCATCTTCTCACAGTCAGGACGCCACAAGAAACTGTAATCTTCACAGCAGGATGGAAAATAATATCCTACGTGGAAACATGAAGCACAGCTGTACGGCTATTCCCTGACAACATAAAAAATAATATATCCGCTGCTTTGGTGACAGGACATTGCGAGCAAGTTGTCCGTGCTCCAAGTCAAACAAAGCTACGCCAACAACACTGGTGTTTAATCATGTCAAAGGAGCAGCGCTCTGAGTGTACCGCACATGTGATGAGGATGCATAAGCCACTCCATATAAAAAACAAACAAACGAGGAGACGGTAGGGATGCCGTTCCGCCACGGTGAGTCGGGACGCCGTTATCACGCCGTTAGCAGTAACTGCCATATGAGGGATACACATAAAGGGAACAAACATGCATGAACGGCCTGTCCGGCTACCAAAGCAAAAGCCAGAGAAGCTCGGATTATAGCATACACAGTGGGAGCGTGACTTCATTCTCTGCTCAGGACACCATTACCCCACTTTATCTTTACATACATTGCTGGTATATTAATGCTCTGAATGCTGTGTACAGCTTCTTTAACACATTTGCCTAAACCTACTTGCAGAAACATTTATTTTCACATTCCCACATATATGTCACATCACACTATTTGCTGCTATAATGTGATATAATACTGATATGCATAAGGAACCTGCCACTCCCCCACACAGGAAGCCAGGATCAAACTCATCCTGCTTCATTTACATCTACGCCTGTTCTGTGTTTCACATCTGCTGCACAGCCATGTAAACAGCAGGCAAAGAGCATAACAATGGGCATTTTCATCACAAAGAACATATTGTGTCTGCAGTGAAATCTGGCTTATTAGGACTACAGTCAGAGGAGAACTTGATATCTCAGTCTCTCCTACAACAGATTTCTCCCAGCATGATTGTTAAACGTTTTTACAAAATGGCGGCTCTACAAAGAAGTCCTTGCTCTTTCATTCGGAGCAGACGAGCACCAAAACCTTACTCCTGTTGCTTTACACTGCTGTGAAACAAACACACACACGTTAGATTATTTTACTTCATACATTATACATACAGAAAAAGAAATCCCAAGGTGTTAAAACACATGTGACAGGACGAGCCTAAATTAGAAACTGAAATACATGTCTGATGAAAAGGAAAACCTACAGTGACAGGATTCACAGTAATTCTACTGAGCGTCATATCACTGCAAACAGCATTTATTCTAACACCAACAAACGCTACGTTCAGAAACTCCACCCTGAAACACAAACAGAGCACCATGCACAGAGCAGTATTTCACTGTCTTGTAAAGGCTGTTAGTCCTGCACTGATAAGCTAATGGATGTATAATTTAGCCAGTGGTTCATACTGTGCCATTTGTGCATTCCTACTGAAAGAGTAACCTAGGGGGGAAAAGACTCCACCGTGTTTTCAAGTAGACAACGTGCCAGGTTTAAAAGGAGTGTTCCCATCACATGCAAACAAGATCCACAGTAAAAGATAAAAATAATACTGATTGTCCATATTTTATATGATCATAAGTCTGCAGTGGCTTTAAACTTCATTCTACCTGCGTATATGTATGTTGATTTCAATAAAAAAAGGCCATAAAAATAAAAATTTAAAGATTCAGAATTATCTTGACATACAATACAAGTACACTGGATTTCACGACCTTGTGCACACAACACAGTTTCCTGTTTCAGTGCTTGTTATAGGAGCTGTATGCTGAATCTGTCAGACATGGTTGCGTCATTGTTGAGCAGCAGCCTCACATTTCCACACCACTGTCAATGTCTGATGGATACATTTCAGAGACAGTGTATGTTAAAGAAGCCTCAAGATTTTATGTTTTATTGCTAACTTTCATTTGTTATGGACTTGCCAAAGTTTCTGTCAATAGCTTCAGCTGTAAACTTCAAATAATGAGAGATCAGTTGCCCCTTAAAACAGAAAAACATTAAGAACCACATGGTTGAATATATGTTTAAAACTGTATCTGCATCGAAAAAGAGATGGCATTTTCTATATTGTTGCAAAAGTGGTTTGGATATACGAACATGAAAACCTTGGAAACCTCTGATGCAACCTCTTAAGTTTCATCTCTAGCCCTTTTTAAATAGGAATTGTGCAAATTTGCAGGAAAGCCCAATCAGTCTTCTTTCAGCATTGGCAGTATAAAAAACAAAATCAGGGAGTGCAGCAAAATGCTGCCTACCTACTTTTGTTTATACAGAATGCGCCTTTTTTCGGGGCAATGGGGGGCGTGAGCAAGTAACAAAACGTGTAGCTCAGCATGTGACGTAAACAGTGACGTGGGAGGGAAGCCACGGCTGGTCAGTCCTTCGCCGACTCTCTCATAAGTTGGCCCATCCTTCACCGTCCCAGTCATCTGACGGTTAATGGCCTCTTCGTTTGCGAGGGCAAGGAGGGCATGTAATTCTTTGTCACCTCAGTTGCTCATCTTTACAGTGTGTGTCAGGTTTGTGTTTCCCTCTTACCACTAGCTGTTCGCTAATTCCTGCTATCAGCTGTGTCCTGTTTATCCACCACCAGTGGGTCACACGTGCAGCGTCATCAACAGCTCCTCCCACAAGTCATCTACAGCTCATCCCGTTGTGGAAGGCCACCTCTGTCTTTTTAAACTAAAAGGGTTCCACCAATATGTCTACCCTACAAGGCGGAAAATTGGGCACCTCAGATCAACTCGTCAATCCAGCTCTGTGTCTAAACGCTCGCAGCTTGCCGGGAAAACGGCCGAAAATCTGACAGTGTAAAAGGGGCTTATCTTTCACTATTAGCGTTGCAGTGGTATACCGGTTTCAAGGTATACCATGATGTGACAACTAACGGTTATAATACCGTGTATTAAAAAATGCAACTGGACTAGGGCTGAGCAATATAAAGATATTGTGTCGTTATCAAGATATGAGTCTATCTATCGTCTTTCGGAATTTCAAAATGAACGTGTATCTCAAAGATGACAATATGTACTGATGTTTTTCACTTTGCATCGATGATACTGGATTGTTGATCACTGAATCGACACATCGATCCAGATCAATGTGTCGTTTCACCATAATTGTTAGTAAATATTGACGTTTCACAAGTAAACTCCACACTTTAGAGATGAGAGCCAAACAGAGCAGGCACACAGAGAAAACAGGGCAGACAAATGGACTGCATGTTAAGTCATAAGTGCGACTCCACAGTCCCACATCCTGACAGAGGCTGTCATTAACCCCAGCAGCCACGGCACAGCCACAGCTGCGTCCAGCAGACATCGAGGGTGACTTTATCACAGAGTGCTTCAGATGCATTATGGGTCTAATTATCTCTAATAGTCCCACTTGTAAGTAGAGGAGCCATTCACAGAGGGGCATAATACAAAACTGGACTCATCTTAACGGAGCGTGACACCATCAAATGGTCAAACTTTGACTTAATTATCAAATAGATCCAAAATAGAGAATCCTTATGTTAATGTCACTGACACATTAGTGTTAAAACACATTTAGCCTCTTCAGTTACAGAATATATTATCATGTTTGGGAGGAAAATAGGCTGGTCCGTACTTGACAGGGTTAACACAGGGAATGAGTAAGCTGACTAACACTCTCCAGTGCAGCAGAATATGATGTGTGCAGCGCCATAACAAGGCTCAGTTCAGACAGCACTGCATTATGGGTTGAAACATGCCTTGTTGAGTCAGCTTTATGTCAGCACTCATCACATTTGGGGAAATTATTCAAATACACTGCGAGCCTGACACGCTGCTACTTACGTCTGCATGTCAGTAAACACAAAGACCAAAGTAAAGTGTCACTTTACATGAGCAAGTGTATCTGCTCTGCTCTGAGAGACTGGTGCTGAACCTTGTCTTGAAACACTGCATCTTTTTAACTAGTTCTTCGTGCTTTTCTAGCTGTTTCTACAAAGACGGCACGATAACGGCTCGAACCTTTCTCACACCAACGGCTAAATACAGAGAGGAATTGATTGTAACCACATAATATATTCTAACAGTGAGGGCTAGGCTGATGCAGAATACAGATCTAACCCTCTTTATCTTGCAAAACCATCAGGACAATGAATCGACATGCAGGTCTGGCAACATGAATGCTTCCTGGTGCAAAGCCAAAATGGCTATTTTATGAAGCAGCAGAGCTGGAAGCAGAGCAGGACGCAGACTCATCCAGCACAAAGATACAGGACCACAGCATTATTTTTAGATGAGGGTTGGAAGGACTACACCACTTTGCTGATTGTGTTTAATGAACAAGCTTGGTAGTGAACCTTGTTTTTATCTCTCAGTAAATAAAAAAAAGAGAGATAAAAGAATCACCACAACACGGTGTAATCTTCAAAGGTGAGATGATGATGCAGGTTAACACAACAGATGAATCTGGTCAGAGTGGTCTGCAGGGCGGCACTTGCTGCTTATGTAAGCACAGAGACTGGAGGAGATGGATATGATTCACAGGCCTCCAACATGGACAGCATTTCTTGCCAGTCACAGTGAACAGCAGTAAGTGGTGGTGATGATGGAGAAGGCTCTGTTGAATTAGTTTTCCTTCAGAGGGATGAGGTGTGGATTAAAAAAGTATTGATCATCACTTTCTCACCTCTAGATTACATCTTTTCTTACTGAAAAAACTGTACACTGTTTCACGGCTGAACAGCTACGAGAACTTTTTGGTACTGCGTCAATAAAGCTGTTAAGCACAAAATGAGCCTGAGCATCTCCAGGCTCACACTGACAAAGTACCCTGATTTTTTAAAAATTGTGAACCCCATTTTCGGCACCAAAAACCACAAAATCAATCCTATAGGTTCACTTCATGTGTTGTCACAGTGGTAGTTGGGTCATGTGTCATCATGTGAGCTGTCACACGAAGCTCGAGCGTGGCAAGCTTATACGTTTTCTCAGCTAACAGGAAGGGAGCTCACTCAATGTGCATTACATAACTAGGATGACACGCATACCTTGTTTGTATTTCAGAATAAATACACTGACACCTCTGTTTTAAAATATCCCACAACTCCATCTGTATTTTGAAAGACACACAGGAGATCCTGCCCCTCAGCGAGGAGACTCCAGTGTGCTGCAAATGATGTGTTGTCATTGATTTATTGGGCTGTCTCTACAGATATTGACATCCAGTAAAATTTTACTCCAGGATCAATGACGCTGATAATAATTTAATAGTCTTAAATAACAAATACATCATATGTCATGTATCAGAACTGACTTTTCTCATAGTTTTGTGGTGTGATTAAAAAAAATAGAGGAAAAACATTGTACTATATATATAAATCAAAATATATACAATATATTAAAATATTTTGTGCTAGAATATTAGTTATCAGACAGTTCAATTTAATGTTTTCTTAAGATCTGTTCAAGACACCTTTTCACCAAATTTAGGACAGAGTTTTGGACAAATCATGTGTTAATTATTTAAGCAGGTAAGTAGTATGTTGAGGTAAGTGTTATGTAGGAATATGGTTATTAGAGTGAGTGAAGTCAATCTACATTTTGCCAACAGGTAAATGTATGACGTAAAATGACAGTTTTACAGGGTTCTCTTTAAAGACCTGTAACATTAGAAATGTGGAGCTTTACACAGAAAGGCTTCACTCGTTTCCATGAAAATAAATTAAATGATTGTAGCAGTTCAGACCTCACAAAGTCAAATTTAAGACTGTTTAATGACTTTTAAGGCCTTACTGTTGTAAAGCTGAATGGGAGACGCCCTGTTTATTCGCTCTGTGCTATTTTTTTTTTTTCTTAAGATATTTTTTGGGGCATTTTTGCCTTTATTGGACAGGTAAGTGTGAAAGAGGAAGAGAGAGAGGGGGCAACAGCCTTGTACATGGGGCGCCTGCTTTAACCACTAAGCCACTGACGCCCCCGCTCTGTGCCATTTAATTGCCTCGCTGATATTGATAACTATCTCTGTACTCCAATGTCATGGTCATTAAATCAGTTTAAAATAAAATCAACCGCCTTATCTCGTCAGTCAGTGTTTGTGTTGCAAGATGCACTTCTTTAATTATCATAATTAGTATTCATTTCACTTGATTTTATGCATCTATGCATTCTATTTTTATTTTATCTTTATTATTATTATGGTGATTTTTTTCCCCCCATCTTATACAATGCATTCCATGAATTCTATTTTATTTTTTATTGTTATTATCAGGTGGGGTTTACGTTATTTTACATTAATTACTGCATTCAATCCCTGTTCTTATGTTATTTTATATCTGTTTTAATATGGAAGACTCAGTCAGTTTATCCACTCCGTGCTATTTGTTTGCCTCGCTGATATTGATAACTATCTCTGTACGCCAATGTCATGATACTTAAATCAATTTACAATAAAATCAACCGCCTTATGTCATCAGTGGTGTTTGTGTTGGAAGCTGCATTTCTTTTATTGTAATAATAATTATTATTTTTTTGTTACTGTTATTTATTTTACTTGATTTGTTGCATCTATGCATCCAATTTTATCATTATTATGTGGATTTTATTTTCCATCTTATATTATGCATTCCTTATTTCATTATTAACATTATCAGGTGAGGTTTGTCTTATTCTACATTAATTATTGCATGCTGTCCCTGTTTTTATGCTCATTTTATATCTGTTTTCATGCAAAGGACTCAGTCGGTGCATGTAATTTCCTTATTGTAAAGCACTTCTTGTATGAAAGGTGCTGTACAATCATTATTAGACTTGTTCTCATTAATGCAATAGCAAAACGATGCTGTGAGCGTGATGGCTTTACATAACACACCTTTATTACAGGGGGTGTCAGTTGGTGCTGACGTTAGATATCAGATGTATTTTACTACCTTCCTGACCTAACAAGCTAACTGTGGAGATTAGAGTAACGACACACGACCAGAGAAGGATTATATCCACTGTAAAAAAAAACGTGACAAGGCGATGCCAACGCCTCCTGGTAGCTCCAGGAGAGCTGTCCGTGTAGCTTGTCCTGTTTGTGTATGTGTGACAGCTGTCAGGCCGCAGCTCGTCCTATATGTTCACCCCTAAAGATGCATCCTCTCACCTCAACTCTGCTAGCTTTATGCTTTTCTACGTCATGGATGGATTAGCTAGCAGGCTAGCTACCTGACGTTAGCCGCTAACAGTAGCTTCACCGATTTATCTCTTGATTTAAACAACGTTTAAACGTGAAACAACGGTGGCGACATCAGGAAACAGTTCAGATAACACAGAGACAAGTGAGGTTGGTGGGTTTAAAGGGGAAAGACGTGGGGTAAGAGCATCCTTACCTGGTGGCATTAGCCGGTTAGCGGCTAACGCTCGCTGCGAAACCAGCTGCTGATGACGGCCTGGGTGGTGGGTGCCCTCCGCGGTCACAGAGGGGGAGAGGCAGCGCGGTTTGTCCCGATTCAGCCCTCTTTTCTTGGGTTCACGGTACAGGACTGGAAACAGCGGCTGAAATGGGCGGCAGCTACTCCGTGTGACTGGTTCGCAGCGTAAATAAATGATGCGAAGTGTGTGTCCGCCTCTCGGCTCGATGAACGGGTGGCTCAGTCAGTTACAACCTGCCTTCACAACATCCTCTTCATCATCATCAGTCTGCAGGGAGTTCCGCATACTGAGACCTAACGGAAGCGACAAACAAGCCTGGCGAAAACCGCTTAATGCTCTCCACAGGGACCGAAACGTTAGTGTGTCTGTGGTAACTGTAGTTCACTCAATAATCTGTGTGGACAGTCTGCAGTATTTTACAGTGTTTTAACGCCTGACAGGGCCGAGCAAAGACTTTCTGGGGCCCTGAGTGTGATCTGATGGGCCACCCCACCACCCCCAAACTGTGCATCCATTAACTACAGTGGCAATTAAATTTTTTATTAAATATTTTATTATTATTATTATAATTATTATTATTATTATTATTATTAAAGGTGCTATTGATAACATTAAATATTGCACTCCCCCTTTCCCTCTTCCGTTGCATTAAAGTCACCATACCACTGTTGCTGGAAGCCAAACCCCCAGGAGCAGCATCGGGCTTTATGGTTCATTTCTAATATATATTAACATAAGGTATCGGCGCCGATCACGTTATTTTTACAAAATCAGAATCGGTAATAAAAGATCGGAGGAATCAAAACAACAACAATGGCCAGGTTTTTCATCTATGTTGTTCACTGTTGCCTCTGCTTTCCAATGTATAAAGTGTGGCGATCCTGTATATTTTCTAGATATATTTTTTTTATAAGACAGTCAGCTGATGGCTTGCTCACCTCCAGACACACCCACCGGTGCTATCGGCCAGTGGGATGGCTCGATCAGCTGAGCCCAGGTAGACCAGCCCCTACATTATGCCGCTCCTGGCAGTATGGCGAGAGTCGCCGGCGAGTGAGAAATGAGCCAGAAGTCCTCTGCGTATTCGGCCTACCACGGCATTTTACACCGCTCAAAGTCCGCGAAATAGGTGCACTTCCCCGTGGAATATCTTCCATCTGGCCACCAGCCTCAACTCAGAGATTCCGCCATGGATATCACGGGATCCTACGGAGCCTCCACGCCTGAAACAACGCTGGAGCATTACGGCATTCACACACGGTCCCGTGAGATGGCAAAAGCCGGAGGTTACTTTCCATTTCATTATTCCTTATTTGGAACGTTGATTTATTGTTTTGACACTGAACTGAGTCAGAGCCAACAGTGGATTTTCTTTACCTCCTTGGTTGCGGGAAAACCTGGGGTGGAGTTTTCTTTTGTTTAGCAAACTGTGTGGATTGAATGGAATTGAACTGTGAACTGTGAACTGTGAACTGTGTGTTATTTGGAAATCCCGGAGTGGAGTTTTTTTGTTTGAACTGGATTGAACTGACTGAACGGAGCAGAACATTTCTTTTCTTTGGTGGAAAAAATACAGACTTTCTTGAAACTGATTACTGTTGTATTTGTATTTTTGAAAATTGAGTATAATTCTTTTCTACAGAAACTAGGTAAAAATTAAATTTTGGTGTTGAGGGACCTGTTTTATGGGTTTTATGGTTTCTTTGTGGGGTTTGACTGAGTACAAGAAAAATATTTGTTTCATGTGTCAAACTGCTAAAAAAGATATAGGCCTATTTTGTTTATTGAAGACAAGAAGAAGATATTAACTTTGTTTACATTTTGTGCCGCTGAATCACCGATAAGCTTTTTGGATACTATTTTAATAAAAAACACAAATCTTACGGGACAACTTGGATGCATTCTTTATTTTTCTTTCTTAATGCTTTGCAAAGTATCGGATTGGACTCAGTATCGGACTCGGTTTCAAAATAAAGGACTCGGTATGGGATCGGATGCAAAAAAATCAGATTGGGACATCCCTAATTAACATACATTTTGGCTTTTTTTTTGTAGTAATTTTATATTCTGTTTCATTGCTTGTTTTAGAGCTGTTTTTTATTCTGTATTTTTGTTCCAAGTTGCTGCCTGTCTTGGCCAGGACACTCTTGAAAAAGAGATTTTTACTCTCAAGAGGTTTTTTTCTGGTTAAATAAATAATCTTAAGATTACATTTTAAAATAATAATAAAAAAACTTTTACCGAATATTGGGAAAGAGACATCTGTAAATCATCATTTTGAGCATCACAACCACCACAAAATTACTCATTTTACTATCGGGATTTAATCTATTTGGTCCAATAACATGTTCCCATACTTGGGCTCAACCTTAGAGATAGATTAAGGAGCTCAGACATCCGGAGGGAGCTCGGAGTAGAGCCGCTGCTCCTTCGCCTCAAAAGGGGCCAGTTGAGGTGGTTCGAGCATCTGATCAGGATCCCCCTGGGCGCCTCCTGTTAGAGGTGTTCTGGGCACGTCCCACTAGTAGGAGGTCCAGGGGCAGACCCAGAACACGCTGGAGGGATTACATATCTCATCTGGCCTGGGAGCACCTTGGGGTCCCCCAGGAGGAGCTGGAAAGTGTTGCTGGGGAGAGGGACGTCTGGGGTGCTTTGCTTGGCCTGCTGCCCCCACGACCCAGTCCTGGGTAAGTGGATGAAAATGGATGGATGGATGGTCCAATAACATTTCAAAAGTCTGGAGGAGCCACTAAACCAGAAGTCAGCCACTCAGCTGCACTTGGCAGTTTTTAGTAACCGTAAGTCTCTATTGCACTTGCTCTATGGGCCCCACAGTGCAAGAGATCCAGGTAATTTCATACTGAGGACACTGAGCTTTTTGGTTTCATACCCAACTGAGCAACTTAATAGGAATGAACAGGGCCCCACCTCCAATGCTGTATCCAGTTCTCAAAACACAAATGGTTGCCAGTTCCTTGCACAACCTGGATATTTCATGATTGAGTGGCAAAGACTGACTCCATTATGTCAAGTGCTGAAACGTTTGTGGTAGAGTAATGAATCAATTCTACAACATGTAGCTATACATTAGCTATAGATTGAGGTTATTTTGTGCAGTGTTGTTTAAAGAATCACTAAAAATAATCTAACATTATGGTATGCTCAGAATACAGTGAGAGTTTGTTGGGAGCATTTAGTGGTTCAGTGTCAGATGTTAGCCGCTTCCGCTGTGTTAGCTTGTGCTCACCAGCACAAGTTGAACTGACATTCATGGACATTCATTTTGGACCCAACAAAAATGTATTTATTTATTTATTTTTTGCTGGAAAAGCAATACTTTTATTTTGCAGTTTTCTAAAAGCTCATGTGGATGTTGTTTTTTAAAATTTATTCTTCTGTATAAAAATGCTATTAGTATTAGTTTTAAGACTGGAGACCTTTTCATACTGCTCATACTATATATGTTACTATTTTTTAATCTATTATAAACTTCAGACTCACAAGAGGGTTCATGGGGGCGACAGTTCCTTTGCCTATAGGGATTTGACTTAGGAAGTGGAGGGTTGCCGGTTCAAGTGCCCATACGGGCCAAGTATGGAATGTGGGTTGGTAGCTAGAGAGGTGCCAGTTCGACCTCTTGGGCCCTGCCAAGGGGCACTGAGACCCCAACTGATCGGGACGCCTGTCCATGGGCAGCCCACTCACTCTGACATCTCTCCAGTTAATGCATGTATAGGTCCTATTTGTGCATGTGTGTGTATTTCTGGCCTGTGTGTGTATGACAACAGAGTGTAAAAGACATTGAATTTCCCCTCTGGAATTAATAAAGTATATCTTCATCTTCATAGTGTATCAAGCATTTAATTAGAACTAAGCACAAAAAGTAAGGACATTTGTGTTTGGTAGATTATTTCATTGTTGTAACAATGCTTCTTGGCAATAAATCTTATACGGTTGGAAAGCCTGTTTATTTCCCTTTTAATTGGTGCCACATTTGTGGCTGCGGCTCAGAGGTAGAGCGGGTCGTCCACCAGTCGAAAGATCAGCGGTTCAATCCCCAGCAGCAGAGCTGAGTATGTGGATTGTGGCCATAAAAAATTTGCCAAATCTTCTCTGCCAATGCCAAACAGCTTTTTTGGCTGTTGACTCTTGTTTGGTGGATTGGATGATTGAAGTCTTAAGAAACAAGACATATTGCCAATCTAACAACTTATTCATTTCTTCTTTCTTTTGTATTTGGGACCAACTTATTACTTCTGTCTTAACCTCATTTAGTTTGAGAAAGTTATTATTCATCCATACATTTATTGCAGACAAGCAGGCAGTGAGGGAGTTTATTGCTCAACGGTGTATCATCAGCATAGCTCTTATAAAACAGGGGCCCTGTGAGACGCCCCATACAGCCACTTCATTCAGTTATGCCCAGGGCTTGTTCTTTTGTTATATTATCTATTCCTATCACATAACTCTATGTTTTAGCATATCATTTAAATTTGATGCCCTCCCCCAGCACTCACTGAATCCAATGAGAACCAAGTGCTATTTTGGAAATCCTCTGTGGACTCTGCAGATATCTTCAAGAGACAACTCAAACTCATTGGCGATTAAAATCGCATGCATGTTACATGGAGTATAAAAACCACTTGAGCAATACTGACAGATTTGACAGCCTTAATAAGCAGCTTACACTGATCAGCCAAAACATTCAAACCACTGACAGGTGAAGTCAGTAGCTTTGATTATTTTGTTCCAATGCATTGTTCTGCTGGGAAAGCTTTGGTTCTGACATTCATGTGGATACCACCTGACATGTTCCACCCACTCAAACACCGTTGCAGACCAAGTACCCCCCCTCATGGCAACAGTACTCCCCAATGGCAGTGGCCCCCCAGCAGGATAATGCACCATGCCACTGCAAACATGGCTCAGGAATGGCTCAAGGAATGTGACAAAGACCTCAAAGTGTCAACCTGGCATCCAAATTCCCCAGATCCCAATCTGAATGAGCATCTGTGGCACGTGCCATTAACCCACCTCACAACCCACTGGACTAAATGGATCTGCCGCCAACGCACCGCAGGACACTCCCAGAGATCCTGTGTCCATGCCTCGACAGGTCAGAGCAACGTCCGATCCAAGGAGGCCCCACCTTGGATTAGGGGTACATCTAGGGTACCGGCACGTCACAAGAATCCTTGTGAAAATTTCGAAAGCCAGGTCGACACCTTGAGCTTTTCATCACGCTCCACAGGCCATTTCTAAACAGTTTTTGTAGTGTGGCATGCTGCTTTTTTCTGCTGGGGGGCCACTGCCATTGGGGAGTACTGTTGCCATGAGGGGGGGTACTTGGTCTGCGACGGTGTTTCAGTGGGTGGAACATGTCAGGTGGTATCCACATGAATGCCAGAACCAAAGGTTTCCCAGCAGAACAATGCATTGGAACAAAATAATCAAAGTTATTCACT